AAAAAAAAAAAAAAAAAAAAAATTATATTGGATATACAGGTGAAAATTTAAAAACCCTACGGCTATCATATTAAGGCAAGTGCAACCTAGATCTTATCCAAAAGGGGATAGTTCCTGGATTACCGGAAGGACCTTTAAACAAATTTCAAATCTATATGGTTCCCATCATATGGACCCTAAAGCTAGCATTAAATTGCGGCTGTATTAACGTAATGAATTTGTTTGAATCTAATTTCAAGACATCCTTTTTTTCCCCTATTAGATTTTAGGCAAACAATGAGCAAGAAATTTCCCTTCATCTTGAAAGGTATGTTTTTCCTTAAAGTATAAAACAACTTTTTCAGGTAACCTATAAATTAAGTAGTAATTAATTTACAAGGAACTAAGAACTAAATGACTTTATTTTGTGGTATGTCAATTTCTAAAAATACTATTCACATCTATTTTAGTTCTGAGACTAGAGTACATTCTCATCTATTCTAGTGAGAGGAGAATTAGGTAATGAGCTGGATTCTGAATTCTAGTGGTTAAGAATGTAAATTCTGGAACCATTCATATGTGAGGTGATAGAATCAAACCACAGTTTAAACCTTTGGTTTTAAAAGATCAGTTTCATCTCAGGTTTGCTAACTTCTTGGAGCTGTCTCTTTCTCTGCCAAGTAGATAATGACTGAACAAGATGACACAGTTATACTAAATAGTGCTCATTACAATGATTAGAGATGCCAGGGCTTATATGTCAAGTCTGTAATCCTGTCCTCTTTTTCATTTTGTTATGTAGCAATATTTTCATTTTTTTCAAGAAGTTTAACAATATTTCCACATTACTTTATAAATGACAGCTATTTTATTTATAGTTTATTACAGATCCACTGAGATGTCTGGAATATATGGAATCAGAGAGCTAGATGAAAAAAAATGGTTGGAGAGCAAAAATTAGACGTAAGTAAAATTTTAATTTGTAATTTACATTAATAAACTCTCATTTCCTTTGCTTTTTAGTTTTTTGAGTGGTTTTAATCCTCTTCTTTTTAAAATTTTTCTTTTTCTTGATGATACTTCTTACATCTCTGTTGTGTAGCCAGTCATCACGTTCGGCCTCCCATCTAAGCTGTTTGAGACCTTTGGGAGAAGAAAAGATGAGTGTACTATCCCACTTGGCGGTCCCACAGAACATGCTGCTGAGTCAAAAGAACTGCTAGCCTGCCTTGGCCTGCAGTTTCCCACCCACTATACAAATTCACTGCTTCTTGTTTGTTGCTTTTCTTCTTATATTTATTGTCAAAGATTAATGTTTTCATTAAGAAATGACTAAGTAATGAAAAGAAACAAATGCTCTAAAGATTTTCTTTCCCTAAGCACTTTTACTGGTGAAATAAAAACCAGTAACAGTCAATATCAGAGATAATGAAGATGTCTATAAACATGTAAAATTACTTAGCAAATTCATGCTATGTAAAAATGGCCTACCTCCCTAAAAAAAAGTAATTTTTGTAGTCTGCAGGGGTTTTTTTTTGCTGTAGTATAAATACTTTTTAATCTTATATTCTCTCTGAGAGAAGAAAAAGCCAATCTTTCCAGGTTGTAAAGTACCATGAAAAGGTCTTTCAAAAATACTCCTATCAGCCAGGCATGGTGGTTCACGCCTGTAATCCCAGCACTTTGCGAGGCTGAGGTGGGTGGGTCACTTGAGTTCGAGATCAGCCTGGTCAACATGGTGAAACCCCTTCTCTACTAAAAATACAAAAAGTAGCTGGACATGGTGGTGTATGCCTGTAATCCCAGCTACTTGGGAGCTGAGGCAGGAGAATTGCTTGAACCTGCAAGGCACAGGTTACAGTGAGCTGAGATCATCCCACTGCACTCTAGCCTGGGTGACAGAGCGAGACTTTGTTTCAAAAAAAAAAAAAAAAAATCTATCTTCTGACGTCCTAAGCCAAAGCTGTTTTTAAAATGTCAATAAAAAAATTTAAATTACTTACTTGCATTATCTTTGTTAGCCATGGCATTCATGCCAATGTTATCAAACTTGGATCCCATATTTTCATCCAATAGATGGCCAAACTTAAAAAAAAAAAAAAAAAAGACAAATTTATTAGCAAACTAAAAATAATGTAGAATAGCTAGCTTAAAACAGTGTATTAGCCTTACCTCTTCAGCAGATACAAATAGGCTGGAATCACTGAAGTTTCTTTTCTTTTTTCTAGGCCCTAAAATAAATAATAAGTCTACATGATTGAATTACAAATCCAATGATTTTAGAAAAATACAATGCAACATGATTTTATTTTAAAAATTATACTTGGATAAAAACACAATTGCAATAATCTTATAGCAGCATTAGGTAGCTGGCATTTAAATAAATAAATATAATTCAAGAGTTAGTATATAGTATTTTTAAAAATTTAACATCCTAATAGAACTGTTCAGATGCCAATAGTGTCTTCTTGCTTTTCAAATACAGCCACTGATCGAAGTTTCCCATAAGGGAAATATCATCATATCAAGGAAGAGTAAAATTATCAAGATGACATGGATGGGTTTTGAAATATTTAAGACAAAACATAAAATGTAATCCAGGAGTCTTATTCTTTTTTTTTTTTTTTTTTTTTTTTGAGACGGAGTTTCACTCATATTACCCAGGCTGGAGTGCAATGGCGCGATCTCGGCTCACCGCAACCTCCGCCTCCTGGGTTCAGGCAATTCTCCTGCCTCAGCCTCCTGAGTAGCTGGGATTACAGGCACACGCCACCATGCCCAGCTAATTTTTTGTATTTTTAGTAGAGACGGGGTTTCACCATGTTGACCAGGATGGTCTCGATCTCTTGACCTCGTGATCCACCCGCCTCGGCCTCCCAAAGTGCTGGGATTACAGGCTTGAGCCACCGCGCCCGGCCCCAGGGGTCTTATTCTTTAGGTTGTAAAGAAATTGAAAGTATGTTTATTACGCTATAAATGAAGTTCTGTTTATAACACTGAAAATAAAGAGTTTCTTCTTAAAAAAAAATTACCTATAGTACTGAATATATAAACTTTTCCTGAAAAGTCTCACTTTATTTTTGAAAGAATTATTCAAACTGCATTTTGGATATCAATGTCTTTAGCAATACTAGAGCCACATTTTAAAAAAAAGCTTTACTAGGCCCGGCATGGTGGCTCACGCCTGTAATCCCAGCACTTTGGGAGGCCAAGGGGGGCAGATCACAAGGTCAGGAGTTCGAGACGAGCCCGGCCAATATGGTGAAACCCCATCTTTACTAAAAATACAAAAATCAGCCAGACATGGTGGCGGGTGCCTACAGTCCCAGCTACTAGGGAGGCTGAGGCAGAATTGCTTGAACTTGGGAGATGGAGGCTGCAGTGAGCCAAAGTTGTGCCCCTGCACTCCAGCCTGGGTGACAGAGTGAGATTCCATCTCAAAAACAAAAAAACACCTTTACTAAAGAATAATTGTACATCATAATATCCAGCTGTTTTAAGTGTATTAATTCAATGCATTTTAGTAAATTGTAACAGACTTGTTCAACTACAACCAGTCTGATTTTAGAATATTTCCATCAACTTGAAAAGATCCCTGGTGCCATTTGTAGTCCTCTAACCCATCCTCAATCTATCTTGTTTTGATGACTTGCCTTTTCTGGCTATTTCATATAAATGGGATCATATGACATATGGTTTCCCTGTATCTGGCTTTTTCATTTTGCATAACGTTTTTGAGGCTCATCCACGTTGTAGCATGTAACACTACTCCATGCCATTTTGTGGGCTGCATAATACTCCATTGTATAGATATACCATATTTTGCTTATCAGTTAATGGACATTTGGGTTGTGACCACTTTTTGTCATTAATAGTTACTATAAACAATCATATACAAGTCTTTGTATCAGAGTCACTTTTGATAAAATAGTTTCTAAAGCATTTCATCTTCATTTTTATTAAGGTGAAATGTATGTTACTTAACTGTATAACACACATTTGCATGCATTAAGAAGGTTTTTTTGGTTTTTATTCATATTGTAGTGATGTATCTGTGACCTCAATGAGTAGGCACTTCTGTACTGTACTGGTTTGTTAAAGTTTCTTTCTTTCCCCCCCTACCTCAGCCTCAGGTGTATACTACCATGCCTACCTAATTTTTGATTTTTTGTAGAGATGTGGTCTCACTATGTTGCCCAGGCTAATTAAAGTTTCTATAAGGTATGTTTATTCTTAAGGATATCTAACACCTGCAAATGTAGGGTGATCAATCAGTAAATTAATAAATCTGTTTAAAATTTCTTGCCTCTTTTGTTTCAATCAATTATGTTGGGTATTCTTTATTCTGCATCTAAAATTATTATCAATTGAGATTTGGAATCTTTTCAGGCTGGTGTCTTCTGAAACAGTATTTTGTTATTTGAAACAAGCTGAGAGAGCATCTTTTTTTGAACATTAAAATTTTTTTTTTCTTCTCCTCAAATTCCTTTTAATAGGCTCAGTAGGACTTGAGGTAAAGCAACACTTCTTTTCTGAGGGATGATCTTGAGAAAAACTTATGGTAATATTAAAATATGATCTTAGATAAGGGAAGACAAAATCTGGAAGATAACATGTTATAATTTAAATATATATCTAGTTAAATCATCTAGTTATTAGGGGACTATGAAATTGACAGCAGTATCTGCAAGAGCTGATAAAGTTTTATAGGCATGAATCTCTGAAACTACTACCAATATGGAAATGAAACTTTTAAAAACTTTTAAGACTATCACCTGATATAGCACTTTTTTCTTTTATCAGCACCTTGTGTTACACGGTAAAGCATAATCTTGTAAGATATACTTTAAAAAGAAGAGTTCATATCTCTTTCGTGTAAAATGTTTTTGACATTAGAATTGTTTTTTCATGGCAGCAAAATGGCAGCTCTTAAGGGAAAATAGTTAATAAAGGAGCATGGATTATTGCAACGGTTAAATGGCAAAGAATAATGGTTGAGAAAGGGAAAAAGGTAACAGGTGTCTGAAAAATCCAAGGCTTTTATAATTGAATGGTTTAAAAATGAATGAGCAGAGATTAGCATGTGAATCTCTGGAGTAGGGAGGGAAGCTCTGCATTCAAATGTGAGTGGGCACCATCCCATCTGTTGGGGCCCTGGAGAGAGAACAAAACAGAGAAGAGGCAAACATGTTGGTCTGCTGTGCTGGGGAGGAAAATGGCAGATAGGAGACAGGACTAATGAGCAGCTCCCACATGGATGGACAGAACAGTGTGTGGAGACTCACACTGTGAACTTTTGCTCCGAGAACCACCATAGGAACATACCAGGAAAATTGGAAGAATTCACAGACTCTTTGAAAGAAGTGGCCTGCCACTACAAACTCCACAGGACAGCCAAAAATCTCTGAAAACAAAAGACAAACTCTTAGGAGCTCTATGACCCTGCCTACCACCTGAGAAACCCTGAGTACTTATCCAGGCCAAGGTAGGGCAATTTACTATGGCAGCTGGTTGTCTCTTGAAAGCACCACCTCCTGCCTGGAGGCCAACCAACTCAAGTCATCACAGCAAATAATAACAGAACAACTCTGCGCCAAAGAAGGAGAAAACAGTTAATTCCACAGCCTGCAACACCCTGACTAACCAGAGGTCCTGAGTCTCTCCAGATCTCAACTTCACTGCTAGCAAAACCAGCATTTGAGAAAACCAGTGCACTAAACAAAATTACAACCAAGGACTCACACAGAGTTCACTTTACTGCCCTGCTACCTCCACCAGAGCGGTACTGGTATCCATGGCCAGGAGACCTGAAGACCTAACAGGACTCTTTGCAGACATTCCCCAGCACCAGCGTGGAGCATGGTAGCCCTACTGGGTGGCTAGACCCAGAAGGGCAATAATAATCACTGTAGTCTGGCTCTCAGGAAGCCCTGTCCCTAGGGAGAGGGGGAGAACAGCATAATAAGGGATCACCCTATGGGAAAAAAGAACCTGAAGAGCAGCCTTTGAGTTCCAGATCTTTCCAGTGAAACAGTCTACCCAAATGAGAAGGAACCGGAAAAGTAATTCTAGTAATGTGACAAAACAAGATTCTATAACACCTCTGAGAGATCACACTAACTCTCCGGCAATGGATCCAAACCAGGAAGAACTCTCTGAATTGCCAGATGAAGAATTCAGGTTGATTAAGCTACTCAAGGAGGTACGAGAGAAAGGTGAAAACCAACCTAAATTAAAAACAAAAAACAAAACAGGATGTGGATGAAAGTCTCCAGAAAAATGAAATGCAAATCAAACAAGAATAACTTCAGAGTTTGAAGACAAGGCTTTTGAATTAACCCAATCGGACAAAGACAAAGAAAAAAAAAATTTTTTTTTTTTTTTTTTAAAAAGATCAAAACCTCCAAGAAATTTGAGATTATGTTAAACGACCAAACATAAGAATAATTCGTGTTCCTGAGGAAGAGAATAAACTAAAAGTTTGGAAAACTTAATTGAGGAAACTTCCCTGGTTTTCCTAGATATCTAGACATCCAAATACAAGAAGCTCAAAAAACACCCGGGAAATTCATCACGAAAAGATCATCACGTAGGCAGAGTCATCAGTTTGTCTACAGTCAGGATGAAGAAAAGAATCTTGAAAGCTGTGAGGCAGAAGCATCAGGTAACCTATAAAGGAAAACCTATCAAATTAATAACAATTGCTCAGCAGAAACTGTACAAGCCAGAAGGGATTGGGGCTGTATTTTTAGCTTCCTTAAAAAAATAATTATCAGCCAAGAATTTGGTATCCAACAAAACTAAGCTTCATAAATGAAGGAGAGATGTCTTTTTCAGACAAACAAATGCTGAGAGAATTTGCCACTACCAAGCAAGCACCATAAGAAATGCTGAAAGGAGTTCTAAATTGTTTTTTCTTTTGAGAGTCTTGCTCTGTTGCCCAGGCAGGAGTACAATGGTGTGATCTTCGCTCACTGCAACCTCTGCCTCATGAGTTCAAGTGATTTTTGTGCCTCAGCCTCCTGATTAGCTGGGATTACAGGCAATTGCCACGACAGCTGGCTAATTTTTGTATTTTTTTAGAGATTGGGTTTTGCCATGATTGCCAGGCTAGTCCTGAACTCCTGACCTCAGGTGATGCCCGCTGGGCCTCCCAAAGTGCTGAGATTACAGGTGTGAGCCACCACACCCAGCCTAGGAATTCTAAATGTTGAAACAAAACCTTGAAGTAAACCAAAATAGAACCTCCTTAAAGCATAAATCTCACAGGGCCTATAAAACAATAACACAATGAAAAACAAACAAACAAAACAAAAAAAGTATTCAAGCAGTAACTAGCATGATGAATAGAACAGTACCTTACATCTCAATACTAACATTGGATGTAAATGGCCTAAATGCTCCTCTTAAAAGATACAGAATGTCAGAATGGATAAAAATCCACCAACCAAGTATCTGCAGTGTTCAAGAGACTCACCGACAAGTAAGGACTCACATAAACTTAAGGGAAAGGGGTGGAAAAAGATATTCTATGCAAATGGAAACCAAAAGCAAGCAGAAGTAGCTATTCTTATATCAAACAAAACAGACTTTAAAGCAACAATAGTTAAAAAAAGACAGAGGGACATTATATAATAGTAAAACAATTAGTCCAACAAGAAATATCACAATCCTAAATATATATGCACCTACCACCAGAACTCGCAAATGTATAAAACCATTACTACTAGACGTAAGAAATTAGATAGATGGCAACACAGTAATAGTGGGAGACTTCAATACTCCACTGACTGCACTAGACAGGTCATTAAGACCGAAAGCCAACAAAGAAACAATAGACTTAAACTATATCCTAGAACAAATGGCCTTAACAGATACCTACAGAACATTCTACCCAACAACTGCAGAATATACATTCTTTTCATCAGCACATGAAACATTCTCAAGGATAGACCATATGGTAGGCCACAAAACAAGTCTCAATAAACTTAAGAAAACTGAAATTGTATCATGTACCCTCTCACATCACAGTGGAATAAAACTGGAAATTAACTTCAAAAGGAACCCTCAAAACTGTATACAAATAAATACATGGAAATTTAATAATCTGCTCTTGAATGATCTTTGCATCAACAATGAAATCAAGATGGAAATTAAAAGATTTTTTGAACTGAACAATGGTGACACAACCTATCAAAACCTCTGGGATACTGCAAAGGTGGC